TCACAGTTTCAAATTAAATCCAATTATTTATTTATTTATTTATTTTTTATGGAAATCAAAAACTTGATTCTTATAACTAGTCCAAGACCGCTCGGGAGAATGATGTTGTTCTTCATATAGAATTCCATGTTCATCGAGAATGGAGAAGCATACCTACGAGCATTCTTCTTGTAATAAAGAATCATGGTTCGCACAATAGTGGTCCAAGCTCAATGAGAACTCCTTTAGCCAGGAAATATAATATCTGAGCCCGTTCTAATTTTATCTCTTCCTTCTTCCCAAGAGACCCGAGATTAGCCATGGCAAAAAATTAAGGAGTGCAGCCTTATCGGTGAGATATTGGGATGGAATGAAGTGAGGATACTTCTGGGATCCTAGAAAACAAATTGCATCATGAATTTCCAGAAGTCTTGGTTCGGATTCTTCACATGGAACAACCTCCCTGTCACCGGCTGGATCTTATTCTATACCCAAAACATCATGAATGACACTCCTTTTAATGCTATAATCAATGCCAAAAATAGAAACCACAAATTTGTTGTCTTGCATAAAAGTAATGTACCATGTCGGGAGAGAAAATGCCTTCCATTCGTATGAAGAACAACCAAATGTTCTTCTCAATGTAATCTACAAGCTTCTTTCTTGCACTGTCTCAAAGCTTGTTTAGAAGCACATTCCTTTCAGTTTTGATCGGTCCATCCTTATAAACATCATTGAAAGTTTTCCAAGTGTGATTGTAACGACCCAAATCCATAAATCCGAATCGTAAACTGAATCTCAACCGGACCCAAGGGCATTAAGAGAAAAATGGTCATTATGTACCTTCCCATATTCTAGGAGTCATAATGATGACATACCTACCGTTTCTAACCAAATCGGTTCATGAAAGAGTGATATCCTTGACTATGGGCTCTTCTTGGTCCCTAGGGTTGATATAGGTAAAATGGTCATTTCATGTACAAATTATGGAATGAGACCCACACCATTAGAAATATGACTAAAAAACGTGCAAGATAGACTCAAGAACGACCTTATTTGGGTTTAAAACAAAAAAAGTTATGGCACTCAAAGTTCAAAGGCAATTTCTGAAAAAATGAAAATAAGGGATCGATCCCCCACCCTCGATAGAGCCCTATTTTGATTTGGAGGGGGAGATCGATCCCATTGATTTTTTTGAAAAAATGTGGGGTTGGACCCCCTTTTTGCCCCCTTTTCATCTCCGTTCCCCTCCCCAAGCTATAATTTGGTCTTTTTGACCAAAATACCCCTGTCCCAACTCACGAGCATGCATACGATGTGGAATATGAAATTAATACATCAATTTAAGTTCTTGAAATTATAAAATTTAGTCGATTCCATTTACATTTTCTATATTACATTAAAAGTGATCCAAATGAATAAACGTTACAATCTTAGACCCTTATGGTCGAAATTACAACACTTTACAAAGGAATACATAAATTAAGCATTGGTTACAAGAATAATAAAAGAAGATCCCGTCAACCCTAACTATACATGTGAAGGTCCGTCATTGATTACCTCTTTGTCATAACCTAAAAAATGTTAAAGGAATGGGTGAGCACGGAGGCATAGTAAAAGATGCCTAAGACGCCAACTTTGGACTCTATTGAGCCACACATCATACATTGGGGTTAAAAAGAAACCGGGATCATTCATTGGGAATTTTTCCGAATTTAAGCCATATTTTAATCAAATCAATAGCATAGATTCAACTTTGCATGCTACAAATGCGGATGTAATGCAATGCGAGTCCATCCTCACACTTGGTCTTAAACTGACGCTAATCCCCACCTACGCTAACTGACTTTACCGAACTAGGATTGACACTATCCCTGGCCTCTTGGCTATTTGGGGCCTAGTGTCAAATTTTTCACGTCCTACACTGGACCGTGCCCCCTCTAGCTCGAGTTAGCACTGGGTTCGTGATACGTGGTTCATTTCTAAAATTTCTTCTTTTTCCCGCTTATCCCAAAATGGCTAACTTGTTAATCTCCTACAACTTTTCCACCATTCTAAAATGGCCAAAATATCTTTCTCATTTAGTTCCCCCACCATGCCATGCACGTGAATGCAATTTCATCATTTTAACTTCAACTTCACTAATGTGGCAGTAATGGCATGAACATGGCACTATCAAAGACAAAGGTTATAAGCATGACATTTTCTCATGGAAATTAAGTATAACCATAACATCACCTTCCACAATGTAATCACAACAAAATATTTTCTACCCATATCCATAAACATGCTATTAATAAAGATTGATATCTTTTCAACATGTCAACACTTAACACTAAGCATAGAAAGGCCTCATATTATTCACTTTTAAGAATGCTTAGCTCACATTCAACACATCATCATCATTTAGCTAGTAATGAAATCATAATCTCACATTTTGTTAGAAAACAATTATAGAGCAAAATAATTTCTCAATGAAAGGCAAAGAATGAGGACTTAAAAAACTCCTACCTCAATTCCTTCTAGCCAGACAAGCCCTAAGGCCAAGGCCAAAATTGAAATCCTCCTAGCTTATGCAATATTGGTGCCAAATGAAAGCCCTCTTCGAGCACTCCAACATCTCTTTCTTGATAATATTCAAATTCCCACTCCAAACCTCTAAAATCTAAGCTTAAAACATTATGTATATATGTATATGTGTAGATATAGAAAGAGAAAGAGAAGAGTTAGAGAGAGAAGGGAAAATGTCGAGAATGAGAGGAAGAAGAGGTTGATGGCTTAGTCTTGCATTGCATACTTAGCCCATAATGTGCCACTTGTTAAGCTTAGAATGGTTACTAACTTTAGTCAAGTTACTAACATGCCCTTACCCTTCCTTTACAAAGCCATCCAAGTCCTTAAAATATCTCCTCAATGTATACTTACATATATATATGTCTATGTATGTGAAAAGACCACAACACTCCTCAATGCAAATGACAAAACCGAGAGAAGTTTCCGAGCCCGAAAATCTTTCCGACTTCCAAAAAATTCTAAAAATGATCATGTCAACTCTAATTGACTTAAAATAAATAAAAGGATAAAGTGCAATAAACCCCCCTGAATTATTAAGGTATTGCAACAAACCCCCCTGAACTACAAAAAATCCCCCTAACCTATATTTTGTTGCAATTTATCCCACCACGTCATCTACTGGTGCTAGAAAAAAAAAACAAAAAAAACAAAAAAAAACAAAAAAAAAAAAAAAAAAATACCAATGTACCCTTAGCAAAGACTGCGTCGTTTAACCTTTTTTCCCCAAAAATAAAAAATCAGAAGTTATTCTCACTCGATATATTAAGATATATTGTTTTATATATATCAAAATAAAAAAATTTAAAAATAGCAGTTGCCATTGATAGGCACATGGTGGCCAAGGAGAGAATCAACGGTGGCGATGTCATCGTCTCCACATCTTACGTATTGGTCATAAACCTCCACCAAATCTCTACTTCGCCCATGAACATGGAAGAGGTCAAAGAGATCCTCAACCAGTCCGTAGGCACTTCCATATTGTCTAATTTACGAACCATGAGGTCAAGCTATTCCTTTGAAACCAACGGATCTAAAGTCCTAGCAAACTAATCAATCTTAACCTTCTGTAGCTTCATAAAATAGTCCAATGCCTCATTAACAACTGGTGTTGGTACCGATGCTGGTGCCAGTACCGGTGCGGGTGTAGGAATCTGTATCCCCACAAACTGTCGGCAAAACAACTCCTGAATGGACTCAGACATCCCAAGAGCCACTCCCTGTGCAATCTACTCCTCATACATAGGTGCCCGTAGTGGATTAGTATCTACTCCATGAGGTTGAGCTCTGGGCCTCTCTGGACCCTTTGTGAGCTCGGTGTCAAAAACCTGCTCCTTATTAACACGTACTCAAGGTGGATTAGCATCCACACCTTGAGCGTGAGCCCTAACCCTCCTAGGAAGGTTTCTGATAAGCTCTGTGTCATCTACCTATTCGTCCTCAATGTGATGCAAAGACTCGCCACGTGTCAAAACCATGATGCTATATGCACGAAGAACGAGGTCAATAACAACATAAGTTATTATGACCGAATGTAACTCACTTAGTGAATGCATGAAACACGAAGCACAAAGATGCACGCAACTTACAGTCATGCTAAAATAGTTAAGGAAAGCCTTTAAACAATCAAACACTTAAGTATGTAATCATGTGAACAGATCAAAGCATATCAGCAAGAAACATGAATGAACCCAAGAAAACTCGTCGTCCTAAGGTTTTCGAACCTTAAGCTCTAATACCACTTATAAAAACACAAGTTTTACAAAACCCGGTGCGCCAGTGAGTGACTCGAAACTGACCCGACAAAGGATCCCAAATGCTAAAGCTAGGTTTTAAAACAGATAAGGCACTTGACTAGGGGTAAAGTGGTCTTTTCAAATGAAGTTCAATACAACCATGTAGACCATTAGATAGATAACGAAAAATTAATAAAGTTAGATTCAAGAATCACATGATTTAGAGTTCGGATAAAGAAGATATGGAACCTCGAAGTTTTATAAAAATTAACCAAACTGTGCTCAGGTGCGATCGTTCACAGAATTCTGCGATCGATCGCAGAATCCACGAATGATTGGTACAATAGCCAAATTACAATTTTAAAAACTTGAAGTGCCCAGTGCGATCGATCGCCACCTCTGCGATCAGTCGCCGAATTTGCGAACGATAAAAAGTGACCAAAAGTACATATGCGATCCATCACAAACATCTGCGATCCATCGCAGATGTCACGATGGATCCTGACTAGTTAGGCTGCGACCATGAAATTTTCAAAGACACCAGTTTTTTGAAACTAAAACGAAGTTTTTTGGAAGAAGTCTATGAAGTAACCTACCCTAAAATCACCATGTTCCAAACCAAGGTTGGAAAACAAAACAAAATGATGAAAATGCCCCCCACCGAAACTATGTCATAGTAAATAAAATAAGCTAAAAATTTGTATACACTCCATTACGTAAAAGTGAATGGCCCTGGGCCTCATCACATGTTATGTTAAAGTACTTCAAAAGGAAGGTGTCAAGGTACATATTACACAAAATAAGGGAAGCTAAACATGCTTCTAAGTACTATACATCCATGATATACAAAATGTGGATCATAAAGCATGCTAAACAATTACATGCTAGTAAAACCGAAAGTGTCCTCAACACCAAAGCTACACGAGTTTAAGATTGATGTCCATCCACTAATAGAACTTCTTTACCTGAAAAAGACCCAATCAACTAGGGTGAGTAACTTACATTACTTGTAGGAAAAACGTATGCGTATAACCTAAAGTTGTAATAGATTTGCAAGCACAATATAAACCGGATACACACGGATCATGCCACCTAACATCTAAGTTCAATGTGGAACTAAGGGAGCATCCTAAGGCTACCTTTGTAACATGGTAAATACAATCCACCACAAGTGAATACAATAAAGTAAGAATGAAACCATCAACGTCTACAGTAAGTTATAACTATAAAAGTCATCAAATTGAAATGAAATGCGAAATCAAACAAAATGGATATACTTGGACATCTTCATCGAATCAAATCCAAACGCAATTCGTTATTATGGGTTACTAACCCACAAGGAAATACCTAGTGCGCACTATATAGGGAAAACTCGTACCTCCTGCACTAAAGCCGTGCTCTAGCCATGCCACAAGATTGACGCCCCAAGTTTCCAAAATCAACAATCAATGCAACAACTTATATACATAAATAAACAATGCATTTAACCACTTTCCATGCACAATCAACATGTGAAAACATACAATCCATGCCCTAAGTCCTCAATTACTATAGCATTTGTAAAGAATGCAAGTCCACCATGTCAATCAATTAAGCTAGTATTGAGCCATACGTTGATTCAGAGAATTACATATACCTTTGGGCAGCTTGAAGCACGCCTTGGCGAAGGCTGGGATAGCCGTCAAAACCGCTTTTAACAACACCTCTCTACCCGCTGTAGAAAGAAAATTCCCTTTCCAACCCGAAATTTTGTAAAGCATCTTTTGTCCCACAAATTTGAAGACGTCTTTCTTAGATCTACCAATAATCGCTGGGAGTCCCAAATACCGTTCCTGGGCACCTTCTCTAGGAATATTAAGCAAATCTCTAATAGTCACCCTGTCATTGTGAGGGCTATTCTTACTAAAAAGGTAGAAGACTTGTCAAAATTAATGATTTGACCAGAAGCTTCAGCATAAATGTTAAGCAGCAAAAGAATTCTTTGAACCTCCTCCAAGTCAGCTTTGCAGAAAAGTATGCAATCATCCTCAAAAAATAAATGAGAAAAAACTGGAGCTCGTCTTCCAATTTTTAGACTGGTAATGTGACCAGCCGTTAAGTCATTAACTAAAAGAGAAGACAAACCTTCGGCGCAGAGGAGGGGGAACCATTAAGCATAATAGAGTAGCTGACTGAGCTAATGCAAGTAAGCATCAGAGATACCCATTGAGGATCAAAGCCTAAACGACTCAACACAGCCCCTACATAACTCCATTCAACTCTGTCATAGGCCTTGGACATGTCTAATTTAATGGCCATAGAGAATTCCGCTCCTGACTTAGTTTTCAAATGATGCATAAGCTCGTGAGCAACAAGAATGCTGTCATGAATTAACCTGCATGGGATAAACGCACTTTGATGAAAGCTAATGATCGAGATTGTTCAGCAACGGCTTCATCCTATTTGCCAAGACTTTGGAAAATATCTTATAAACAACATTGCAAAGGGCAATGGGTCAGAATTGAGAGATAGTGGAAGCATTCTTAACCTTGGGAATCAAAACAAGGTTAGCATGGTTTAAACTATTCAAAAGATGACCGGAAATAAGAAAATCATTAAAAGCACACGCTAAAATGTTTTTCACAACATCCCAGTGTTTTTGAAAAAAATAAACGAGTAAAACCGTCGGGCCCAAGGGTCTTACAAGGACCCCATATCAAAAAGAGCTGCTTTCAATTCTTCCTCTGATCCCTTTTGCAACAAAATGGAATTTTGTTCAGGTGTGACCTTTGGGATAAGAAGATTAACTACCTAAGCTAACCTTTCAGGAATAGGATTAGAAGAAGTGAAGATACCTCAAATCAGAAAAGAAAAAAGAAAAAAGTGCATCTCATGATATTTTGAAAAAATAATTTATTTGTTAGTAAACTAAAATGATACCAGAAGTAGTACTTTATACGAGGAGTGCTAAATACAGTCACACATCTGATTGGTTGAAAAACTCAATTATAGAAGTTGTAATTAATCTCTTTCCTATTTTTTGAAACTATAAAACTTCAACATTTAAGACCAAATTATCCGTTTATATTTTTTCTTTCTATTTTATCCTACTTGTACGTGTGTGTGTATATATAAAACCTTCATTCTTCTTTACTTACCTATCTTATTCTTTTTTCTCTCTCTTCTTTGCTTACCTACCCTATTCTTTCTTCTCCCTCTTTTTTTTCAATTTTTTTTTAACTATATATATATATATATATATATATATATATATATATATATTTTCAATTCTTTCATTTTATATATATATAGATATATAAATATATATAGTAATTAACCATACTGTGAATAAATTGGGAAACCATACTTCTCTTATTTCATATATTAACTAAAACTCAAATTTTATAATATTACTTCAATTAAAACTCAATCTCATACCATTATTTCAATTAAATTACATAAAATCCAATAAAAAATCCATCAAGGTGGAATATATATATATATACATATATATATATATATAAGACAAGTGAACAAAAAAAGAAAGAAAGTAAAGAATGAAGTATAGCCACATATATCCAATCACGAAAGAAAGCAAAAAAATAAGACAAAGGAAAGAAAGGTTATTAGGTATAAAGAAAAAGGAAATAATTTAAAAGGGTAATTTGGTCTTAAAGTTGAAGTTTTATAGTTTCAAAAAATAAGGAGGAGGCATTAATTACAACTTCTATAATTGGGTTTTTCAACCAATTAAATGTAATACTGTGTTTAACCCTCCTCACTTTATACATCAAAGTTACAGGGAATGATTTTAATTTTTTCTTCATTCATTCAATTTAGATGAGGTTAAATTATATAGCCACATAGCCACAGCCTAAGTATCAAATTTAAAAAATAAAATAAAATAAAAAATAGAAACCAAAGTGACATAAAAAAGGAAATTATTAAAGTGACGGTCAACATCCTCTCCTTTCACTTCCCCTCTCTTTTATTAGTCTCACATACATTCTCCTTTTTTAGGGGAAAAAATATATATTTAGAATAAGTAAAGATGGTAAAAACAAAAAGTGTACAGTGAAAAAAGATAATTATGTTATTATAAAACAAGGATGCATGGACTAATGAGTTTAGGGACTTTTTTGTCATCTGTCTTAACTCTTAACGAAAAAAGAAAAGTGGAGTGCAAATATTGATTCCCTATTTTTTAACAAATAAGCATTAGGTGGCATTGTGTGAATAAAAGCACATCATCATATTCAAAAAAAATTTAAAAAGAAACCATTTAATGTCTTTCCTTTAAGAACACAATTACACAATTTTTAAATCCATCATAAATACTCCCTCTGTCCCAATTTAGTTGTTCATCTTTCCTTTTTGAGTTGTCCTACCAAGTTTAAACAACATATTTCACATCTTACCCAAAAATACCCTTAAAATTTAAATAAAAAAAAATAAAATAAAAAAAATATATATTAAACTTGATTTTTTATATATTTAAACTTGAAAGGGTAGCTTTGTAATTTTTAAAATTACATTGTCCCCTTAAAAAGTTCTACTCCCCAAAAAGAACATCTAATATGGGGTAGAGGGAGTAAAACTTTATAATATCAAATTCCAAATCAAAATTTTCTAATGGAACATTAATTTCATTGCCTTAGATTGGAGGGATATGATTTCAAGTGGATGATAGCAACTAACAGTCCATATTCAATAAGGCCCTTTATTAAACATTATAAATAGATAAGATGTATCAAATATTTGCCCATGTATAAGATATATCAAATTTTGTGATACTTTATTCTCTTATTTTTAGCCTTTTTCCATTGACAGTCATTTCGGCCCATATACGTGGATTGCCTTCAACTTGTCAAAATAATTTCCCTTTGTATTGATTTTTTTTACCCACTTGATGTTATGAAATCAGTTTTGTTTCTTACCACGAGTTGGAATTTTAGTGGTGATTTCCTTTTACACATTGTAAAGAGAGAATATTGATTTGCATGTTTAGATTATTATTTTGTAGTTTAGTGTGCCTGCCTTATAAGATTTTCTCGATATTCATAAGATATTTAAATTATTATTTTTCTTTACGAGCTATCAAGATGATACTCTTATGCTCCATTTGGTGTGGAGGAATGAAATGGAATGTCCATTCTAACAATTCCTTTGTTTGGTAATTTCAAGTGGAAATGGGCATTCTATTGGAATGAAAATTCATTCCCAAGTAATTTTTTTAAAAAAATTAAGTTCTCAAAAAACTCTCATTTTCTAAGTCCAAAAACAATCACCACCATCGCCGCCGCCACCACTGCCTTCCGCCGCCGCCACTACCTTCCACCACCGTCGTCGTCGCCACCACCACCACAACTACAACTACTGTTTTTCACCACAACTGCCACCGCCACCTCCATTGCCTTCCACCATCGTTATTGTCATCGCCATCATTGTTGTCTCCTTCAACAAACCACACCGCTGCCGCCTCCATTGCCTTCCACCACCATCACCGACTTTCACCACTACCACCGTCACCTCCATTGTCTTCTACCACCGTCATTATCACCACCACCATCGCCATTATCGCCATCACTACCGCTGCCGTCACCACCACCGCATTCCACCATCGCCACCTTCCACCACCACCACTACTGCCTTCCACCACCATCGTCACTGCCACCACTGTCGTTACCTTCCACCACCACACCGCCGCCTCTTTCAATGTCTTCCACCATCACCGCCGCCTCCACTTCCTTCCACCACCACCACCATCGTCACATCTACTGCCTTCTACCGTCACCACCTACACCACATACGCCTTCCACCACCACCACTACCATTGCCACCGCTTTCCACCAACACCACTACCACCTTCCGCCGCCTTGCAATACCACTACTGTTTTCCACCTCCAATTCCATCGTCACCGCCATCTACCACCGCCGGCATTTCTTTTTAAAAAAATTATAAAATAATGTTTATTTTGTTAGTTTAATTTAATTGTCAGTAACAAGAGTATTTTGGAGACTTCAATTTAAAATTCATTCCATTCTAAATTTAAAATTAGTCCAACCAAACAATATAATGGTTATTATTATTCCATTCTTACATGATTCATATTTGCAACCAAACAATAGAATGAGAATGGGCATTTCATTCTATTCACATTCTCATTCCATTCCCACTTGCATTTTATTCAATTCCTACACACCAAACGTAGCATTACATAAATGTAAAGATATGGATCGCAAAATACTTTAACTACCGAATGTTTAAAGTACTTTATGTAAAAAATACGAAGTTGAAAGTTCAAAACTCTATAAAAACAAAGGCCCTGTTTGGCGTGGCTTCCTGGGCTTCAAAACAAGCTTCTAAGCCCAGAAAGGCATTCCACTAAAAACATGTGTTTGGTAAATATTTTTAAACGGGCTTCTTTAAAACACCCAGCCCCTCAAAAGCCAGTTTGACCAAAGCTACAAAAACATGCTTCTGAAATTCACTTTTCGGGGAGCGGATGAGAGTTTTAAGTGATAAATATAGCAGATATCAGCTTTTGTTTTCCAATAGAATTTAATTCAAAATCTAAAAAGAAATTCATTATGATTTTATTAGTTAAAGTAAACAACTACGAGCTTTTAACCAAAAGAGTACAAATATACCTGACATTCTATTACATCTATTGGACCCCGGAAGACAAGAGATGCCTTTGTTATCATTGTTCTAGCGATAAAGAGATCCGTCAACATCGATAACACCTAGTAACAATGTTAAACAAAATTAGGGATGAACAATTATGTTTATTGTACCTCTGACAGGCCCCAAAAAAAAAAAAAAAAAAAAACCCACCTCTGCATCCAGATCACTGCCGAAAAGTACTGTAAAATCTGAAACTTGGGTTAAATATGGATCTTTTGAAGAGCCTACATTTATGCATTTAACAGCATACACGTAAAGATGAAAGAATTTGGAGGTATTGCCACCGTCTCTCCCAGATAAAATCCATTCTCCCTGCAGGGCCAAGGGGAGTTCAAGCAAGATGCATAATGAACCTTAAACGTTATTAGTGATTTCTATCAACTAGTTGGAAAAAAAAAATATTAACAATAACAAAAAGGAAGAGAATCTCAAATACACAAATAGCAAGTGTAATATGTTTTACAGATTATATAATCATAATAGTAGTTATGTTGGTGAGTCGTCGCACAATACGCATATTATATGTGTATATACTTTTAAAAGTGCTTCCATTTTCCATGTCATTGTGACTAATATGGTATTAAACCCGTCTTTTCGCTTTTGTCCTTGTGGTCACATTTTATTCGACTACCGTATTACACAGGAACGGAAGAATGGCTAAATTAGAAATTTGAGACATAAGTCAAAGAACTGTACCCTAGCTGATTACACCTTTTGTTGGAAATAAAAACTAAAAACAGAAAAGTAAAAGACTGAATATATGCTACTCCTATATGGTAACACGGTATATGCTACTATACCGTGTTACCATTGACTAAAGAATTGATCTTTCATTTTTAAATGAAACACAATAAATGCGTTAGCAAATATAACAACATAATTAATAACTATATTTTGTCATTTTGTTTATATTTTTTTTTTTATCAGTATGATTTTTTTTTTTTTTTTTTTTTTTTTTTTTTTTTTTTTTTGATAAGTATTATCAGTATGATATTATGATATATGAAAACAAAAAGAATACATATACAGCTGGGGAAATTTTGCTTTTCAAGTCAAAGGAGTCTATAACGAAGTATTTGTATATTACAAGGTATCATGGTTTCACTTCCATTTATGAAATGTTATTAGTCTTAGCTAATCAGTACTCCTAGTGTGCAATGGAGCCCCTGATCGCTTGTTTGATGAATCTTTTATTCAATAAAAGGGGAAAACAAATGAAAACGAAAAGGCTACACCAGTATTCACATTGCCAAACGAAAGGTATAGCACTGAAATTCATTTTGTCACAAATAGGAAGAAGGTAGCACCAGAGATTGGGGGGAACTTGTTGGTGAATGGGTGGGTGTTGTTTTATTTTCTTGTCTTTATTTCTTTTAAAATTTGTTTATGTTATGCTGGTTCACAATATTCTCAAATACTGCAAGCAGATAGTGTAATCCATGGGACAAAAGGGTTGAACTAACCTGGAGAACATTAGCTACACCCTCAAAATAGAATTCCCTATGCCTAGAAGGTTCCAGGGAGTGGATCTCCTTCATCATTCTGGTCAAGTTTTTCCTCTTCGCCCCCACTTCCCTTGTCTGGCAAGAGCATGTCAGTAAATGCTCCCATCTCATGAAGCTTCTTGCAAGCAGCCAAACAAACAGCCTGCACATGAAAGATATTAATGAATTTTCTCGTTTGAATGTTAGATGAAGTTCATATCACCGACAACAAAAAGCTGGCATGCCTGTTGTGCAAGACGAATTGAACTACATACTGGTCCCTCCAGTCCTTCAAACGGTGCATTACAGGGGAGTTGAAGCCTGCAAGAATATTCTGTAGAACCCCCTGGCTTCTCATGGCACTCCATGATAAACTCGGGACGAAGTATTGAATACCTGATAATAGTTGCAAGACAACTGACTAAGAAGCTAAAACCCACTAAGAAGTCCAATAGTAATAACAAATAAATAAATAAATAACAAATAGGAATATAATCTATCATATAGAAACAGAAACTGCACCTGTCAGTTGAAAGTTGAGAGCAATACATATGAACAAGTCCAACAGCAGAATTTAAGCTCACAATAGCACCAGTTGATTCCACCTGATACACCGTACCTGGTGTTGGATCCACTGAAATTAGCCTTGAAGTACCCTTAAGATGACTAAGGACAGTTCGCTCAATTGCTTCTTTCTGCAAGGTCTCTTCACTATTCCTAGCATTCCTTAAAAGTTAAAAATGCTCAATGCGACAAATTTCCCCAAGAGAGAATTTTCAATCCAAAATTGGCTGAAATATCATAGATACATTGCCAAGGTACGAGTTAATGCTCACAACTGTTCCAAGTATGGTGTCTTCCCACGCTAGGGGAAGAATCAAGGGAAGTTCACGCTAGGGGGAGAATCAAGGGAAGTTCAAGTAGTAATCTCAATACATTCATGTCTCATTTCGCTTCATTATACAATAATAAATTCTGTGTCTCTGACAGCGTTATAGCATTAGTTCTGGCTGAGTCAGATTTCAATTATTGCATCATCCAAACCAGTATGAACATGCCCATTAGCAAAGAAATTACAGCTGGAAAACACAAGAAACCAAATGAAAAAAAATACATATTGTAGAAAAGGCTACATATTTGATAAGGAACTATATTGAAAATTCTAGAAGAAACTCTTACTGAACAGATGCATAAATGTATATTGCAACAGCAAAATATCCCAACTACTTCTTCATCAGATACCAGTGCCTGCATCAAATGAGTCGAGCCATTCGGATTTTGCGGCCTTTCTCAGTTACCACTTAGATATCAAGATCAGAGACAGGCATAAGCGTAAATGAAAATCATTAGAGATGGAAGTGATACTCAACAGGCTTTTTTAAGTGCATAGACTTAAAATAATGAAAGATCTCAATTCAAAAGAAATCCAGCAAAATAAGCAAAGATTTCTTAATAAGTACAAAATGAGCAAATATTAGAATAAAAACTTTAGAAGAAACAGAGCTCCTAAAATTGGTACATTTCAAGTATTGATATACTTGCCTCCCTTCCAATATAAGATTAGAAATCAACTCCAAAACAAAGAAAGCGAGAAGAGAATAGAAATCACAAACTATATAAACAGGAACTACAATTTGAGAGCAGCAATTGCTTCAGGTCTAAAATCAACCCTCAGGCCCAACACTCTCCTCACCTCAGCAGGAGTTAGTCTCCAGGTCATGGGTCCTGAGTTCTCACCCCAGAAATCCAGAATCTCAGAAACCTTTTCCAAGTTTAGGATAGTTGCCATCTGGGTAAGACGAGCGAACTTGTCTCTAACAGTCCTTTGACTCATGCTGGAAAAGTGGCTTACCAGTGCCCTAGCATCTCTGTCAAGCTGGAGACCTCCAAGCTGACTGAATCTTTTTTGCATCATGATTACTTCAAGCCTCTTTACAATGAAGTCAACAACCAGATGAACAAAGGAGTCATAATTGTTGGCAGTCATTAGTGGTTGGAGCCATGCCACATTGGTCTCAACAGAGTGGAGAAGCCTCTGGACCCATGGGTCATTCACCTCGTTGTCTGCATATTCAGCCTCAGACAGTTCATAGCTGATGGTTGCCACACTATCTAATACTGGACGGATTCTGGGTGTTATGATTGCTACAAGTTGCTCCATTCCAAAAGTTAAAGCTTTCTTGAAACTGTTACTCATCTCACCCAACTCAGACAAGCAAGATTTTACTCTCTCTCTATCCACTGGTGCAGGAAATACCTGATAAAGATGTATAATTTTACAACTTGAGTTATAATCTCACACAGGAAAAAACAAAGAACAGAATGTTGGAAACCAAGCATATAAATGGTAATCTAGACAGTAAAGATCACAAATCTATGAAAAAGTCATATATATATATATATACCCTCAACTAACATCTAATACAACAATGGGGAAATTTCAAAAATATTGGAAAATAGAAGACAATGGCAAATTTTATTATATGCTCAAAGTCAAATCACAGTATGTTGCTCATTTGGAACCCAATATAAGAACCAAAAACAAGTAAAATATCTAATGAATGAGTAAGGAGGAGAACCTTGTCCAATACAATAAAATGGACTGGACATCGGGACAGCGTGAGCATCCAAGATAATCATATCTAAGGAGACAAAAGGGCTATCAAAAGAAGGCAGTCCATAAAATATCCCTCTACTTTGGCAAGAATCCATTCAAACTCATAGCATATATATTTTAAATGCATTGGAGTTCAAAGGTACATTTCTTCTGATCAAAAGATAGGGATTTGCAGGATGAAATAAGAATATCTAATATCTATCTTTTTAAATTATATTGCTCTTTCTATATCATATTAATTATTAATTATTATTATCTAAACGGTAATGACTACTTGGTTAGGGTCTTCTGTTTCTTCCATTTGCCACGAATCTCAGTAACTTATGACACATTTCAGAATTTTCTGAAAATAGTATGAGAATTGTGGCACTGCAAGCCTCAGGGAAAGGCATCTGAGTGCATGCCAGTACTGGAAACTTTTCTCCGGAGCGTATTTTTCCATATGAGGGATGCTAGTACAAATTACTTTTCTCTAATGACATTGGTGTTGGTAGACACTGTGCTTCGTTTTAGGTTTTCTATAGCTATAAAACTACTAAATTACATTGTAGTCAACCACTGCAACACCCAGTAACGCCATGGAACATATATTTTAGTAAAGTAAGAAGATTTATCAACAAACATGCTCTTCCTTGGCACTATCCTCCGAGTAGACCTCAATTAGTTTGATTGAAAAGCTTGGATTGGCAGATGAATTTCCATTAGAGCACCTACTAAAAATATATTAAGGTTGATCCATCTAACTAAAATTTTACGCCAAATTCGATTTCCCTCTGCATTTAATCTGACAAGATCCAAAGACGAACGCCAATCCAAGTATCAAGCTGATCAAACTGGGCTCAGCTGAAAATGATCCCCTTCAGGCTCAGCTCTAGCTTGTATCAAGCTTGGAGGCCTTTCTTTAAAGGTGGTGAGTTCAAAAGCCATTTGAGCTCAGCAGGTTAAAGTTTCTAATGTGTTTTAAATTCAGCCCAACAATTATTGCAAGCTCCTTGGTATTGTATTTATAAAAGGTAGACCAGATTGATTATATTGTGACATCAGTGACACAGCATATTGTAAGAAGCATCCCTCTTGGGACAACTTGTGTTCCATGTTCTTATTTTTTTTCTCTTCCAATATAACTTACATAAGGAACCAAATAAAAGCATTTGTTATTTATTAATGAAAAGACAACTTACTAAATAAATGGATATGGAACTCAAAGAAAACTGTAGACTACCCACTGTAGCAACTGTGCCTTTTCTAGTGGTATCTCCTCCACTTTCCAACTGGAAGGTCAAGAGTTCAAGTACAGGCAATTGTAGGTGAATGTATCTTACCAAAAACAAAAAACAAAATAAATAAAAGATTTGGAAATGGACTTGTACAGGCTCCACTTGATTAATAAATGAGCTTCAACTTCAAGCTCGATGGTTCATTTAGTTTTTCTTCTCTCTTTTTTCTTTTTTTATCCTCCGAAGTTTAAGCAAAAGGACACACACCCACAATATTGCCCCACAGGGCTCATGGTTTATTTAGTTAAAGCAACAAATCGATTACTTAGTCGAGATTGAGCTGCTCATGAACCGCTTGATTCTAACTACAACACTAAATCAAACATATACAAGATTAATATCAACTTGTCTTTGAGGAACATCACCTCAAACATAAGCAAAATTCGATGCACAGGCAATTGCATAAAGAAAACAAAAAGAGGGGGGAAAAAAAAAGGAAAAATTAGCACTTACCTCTGCACATTGCTCTTCAATCTCATGTCGTAGTTTCAGTGCATACTCACTACTCACGTCCATGTTGTTCAAAGCCGTAGCAATCTCTGTCCCAGTCTTTTGCACACCGACACCACCCAAAAACAGCTTTGCTCCAAGGTTAGGCTCCCTCATTTTCTGCTGCAATGCTTCATTGTACTCACTGCCTAACAAACTAACTGCACTGCTCAGAACTGCAATCACAGAGTTAATGTTTGAAGTGGATATTGACCTCCGGCAGCAACTCTGCAAAACATAGAACACGTCGTCCACCATAGAAGTTGTGAGGCTGTCAGGTACATGTTCATCAATGTTGATAGCCTTTCTTACGTTTTCCACCATGAAGAATCCCTCTAAAATCACATAATAACCAGTGATATCTTGCACAACTTTACTGAAATTTCCGCTTCTGAAGGCTCTTGTGGCTCGCGGGCCTAACTCACGATCCACAGAAGTCAGAGCCTTAATCTTTGACACCATGTATTCTGTGTAGTCCTCACCCAACTGTGTCAGTGACAGTATTTCTTCCAAATACAACTCAATCTCTCTTGGGTCCGGACCTTCAACTTCAACAGAAAGCAAATTGTTCTTGTAAGAATTGATGTCAGAGGTTAATCTGGCCAATTTTCGGTAGTCCATGTACTTGTTTAGAATGAGAGACCCCCTAGAATCGCACTCTTCTTGAAGCTCGCAAATGGCATACACAATGGCATCTTCGCCGCACAGACTCATCAAAATTTCCTCATTTTCTTCTATAGCCAAAACAATGTCTTTAAATAAATTGGTCAAGCAAGTGACGAAATTCACCTCATTCTGATTTTTTTTTTGGTCCATTAATTCCACCATCTGCTCAAATTCAAGTCTGGATCGCATTGCAATGACTTTCTTCAAATAGTTAACGTACACTTGCAAACCTTCTTCCTCCAAACCGAGGGGCGAGTAGAGCCTGGTGAAGCGGAGGATCTTGGGGTGATCCCGCTGATCAACGGCAGCCGCTAATCTCTTCCGAACGATTCCTTCAAGCTGTTTCTTGGATGCGAGGAGATGTTCCCTCTGATCGGAACCGGAACTCGAACTGGAAGCAGAATCCTTGTAGTACTTGGCATCGATTTGGAGAAATGTCTGAACATATTTAGCGGCAGACTCAAAATCCTCTGCGTCCAGAGCTTTCTTGACTCCATCAATGCAGTTGGCCCTGTCGACGATGGCATCAATCCAGAGGAGTGTATCGTTGACTCGGGACTGCGCCAGATCGAGCTCCCGGACTTTGGCGCTGACCTGATCCGCGAGAAGAGAGGTGGAGCGTACGTTGGACAGCATGTAATCAGAATCGCCCTTGACAATCTGTAGAACGTCGGCGGATTTCTGTAAGTTGGAGAGCTGTTTGTCGACGTCTATTCGTTGGGAGAGGACATTGTCGAGATCCAGATCTAGGGCACGCTGATACGCAATGCACTCGTGGAGGAGCCTAGTCATCGCACCAACGTCGGTAAGCTTGCGGACGTAATCCAGTGCCTCTGGACTTCCGAATTTCACAGAATTGGACCCACACTCTTCATCTTCTTCCGCCGTAGATCCGTTGGGCATCGTCGACGGCATCTTCTTCTTTCTTTCAAAATGCAAAGAGGGTTTGATTTGGGCCGAATCCGCCGGACAATGATCTAGGTTTTGCTCCGATTCGAAATTAAAGAAAAGATTGGTGAAGGCTTAAGAGAAAATCAGAAGAAAAAAAAGATGAATTTTCCTCCTCTCTGTTACTGTGGGAAGGAAAGAGGAGAAATAAAAATGCTAACGAATTGCTACAGTGAACGCTACAGTAGGGAAGTAATTACTAGTTGATCTTTTTCTATGCATTTTTAGTTGTATTTTCTTTCTTTACTTGAAACTTACAAGTTACAATGGGTGTCAATCAATGTCATTTATCAAACAAATTTATATACATTTTTTTTTTATTAAAACTATCGTGCTAGTCAATTATTTTTTTGTATTAACTACTTTCTGTATTTTACTTTTAAATTTTGAGAATAGTCTTGAGTTACCAAACATAATTTTACTTTTTATTTCATTTATAACAAATAAAAATTGTAATTTTATTTTTGAAGATAGCAAAACTTAAAACAAATAAAAATTGTAATTTTATTTTTGAAGATAGCAAAACTTTAAAAGCAAGGGTAATTATTGAATCACATATTACTTACAATGTAATATTTTCTTTCTTCACTTGAAACTTACAATGGGTGTCATCAATGTCATTTATCAAACAAATTTATATACATTTTTTTGTCCTATCTATTGTGATCAATTCAAGAACTAAAAGCAAAAAAAGAATTTGGTAACAAAAAATGTTTTCTATTTTTTTGTTGTCAGCTCCAAAACAAAAAACAAAAATCTTGTTTAATAATATGTTTTTATTTTTCTATAATAAAAAAAAAAAAAAATTCTTTTTGTGAAAAAAAGAGGAAACATAAAAATAAAAATAAAAAAAAAGGTGTTTCCCATTTTTTCGATATTGTTGAGAAAAAATGTTTTCACTATTATTTTATTACATATGCACGGTTCATTTCAAATAAAATGTGTGTTATTCATGTTATATATTAATGCTACATATTAAATACTAATAAAAGTTATATTTTTAATCTATAATTATATTATATATTAGTGTAAATTATTTTTTATTTAACAAAAATATATTTTTAAAACATAATATATTATATTTATGTGTAAATTATTTTTTGGGACAATTTTTATTATTTACTTTATATAATATTATTAAATTATTGTGCAACAGATATAATGTATTATTATATACTATATCTATATTATATTATAGATATATTCTTTAATATTTATTATTTATTATAATATACTATATGTTAAAAAATTATATATTATATAATAAATGTATAGATAATGTACATGCATGCACTTATATATATAAGTGGTGAGATTTTTTTGTCCTAATATATCTTATTGTCTACTTATGTATTTGGTATTTTTAATATTTGTGAAATAATTGAATTACATACATATTTAAGGCTTTTTGGTATTGATGAAAAAAAGAAAAATAAAATAAAATAATAAAAAAATGTTATGTACATTGGTAACAAATATTTATTATTAAACACTGTTATTATTTTTTACTTTCAAAATTATGACAACAACAAGTGTTAATAAATGTCATTTTTGTTTTTTATTGTCACTCAAGAAAATAAAATTATGTTTGTGCTTTCTTAAAACTGCAAAAACAGAAAACGAAATTATTACTAAACGCAGTCTTGTTTTAAACTTGCTTTCTGTTTTTTACTTTCAAAATTTAAGAATAGTCTGGAGTTACTAAATATAATTTTGCTTTTTGTTTCATCTATAACAAATCAAAATCGTAATTTTACTTTTGGAGAAAGCAAAAATTAAAAAGTAAAAGTATGAAGAGGCCTTATTGAATCATATATAATAATGGTTTGATTTAAAGAGGAATGATTAGTAGAATTTTTGCCTTTTAAGTTAGTTTCATGCACCATGTAATGTTGTTGAGTACTTGAGTTATTGCATTTGTTCTCTCAATTTAAACTAGTTGCATTAATCCTCTTTTCTTTCCTTTTTTTTTTCTAGTTGGTACTCACACGCACATGTCTCTTCTGGGATTTGAACTCCTGACCTCTTTTTAATAATTAAGAGGTTGATACCGCTAGACCTAATGGATCAGATTTTGATTCGAATCTCATAACCAATTAGCGATATGAATTGATGATATGTTAGCTAAACAAATCGGTCATGAATTATGATCGACAGTCCGATAATAATCAGCTCTGATGTAATATACGATAAATATATTATCTAACACTATAAAATATAATAGGGTAAATTACACAGACACCCCCTGAGGTTAGGTTATTTTTTATGTAAATGAAGATTTTATTTTTAACTTTCACTTACATCCCAATTTACTTTTTGGCCTCAAACACACGCAAATTGACTCTTTTACCCACAATTTTTTAATATAAAAATATCTTTAATCTTAAATGACATAAATGCCTCTCAACAATTTTGAGTTTTTCATCATATCCAACCTCATCTGCTCCATTGACATCCATAAGCTCTCTGTCACCAAGGATTTTGATGATTCTTATTACCCTAACCTCTCCATTGTTGCTGAAATGGGCAGGTTAACCTCATTCAACCCTCTTTCTCTCTTTACAATATATACTCACACATAGATATGCATGATAAGGAGCATTAATGGATTCTGAAAATGGGTTGACATCAAATTTCTCAGATTATCTCTCTTTTTTTATTTTTCAAATTTCTATTCAAATTTGGTGTAATGATGAATTGATGATGATGAACAGGGGACTTTTGCTCATATTGAACCCATCTAATTAATGCTTTGTTTTTTGTATGATTAGATGCATGAAACCAAACCTACTTAATATGGGTTTTCCTTAGATTATGCTTCATTTTTTTTTTCCTTAATGATGTAAATGATTGTAGATTGCGTGTAGAGATTACCCACATTCAAGGCAAGTATGTGTCAAATTTCCCTTTGAGAAGATGCATCACGAGAGTTACTGTGAACTATGACCTTCTAATTTCGACGAGCGTGATACCGCCGGTGGTGCCCGAACTGGGTTCGCAATCTTGGCATCGAGATCGAGCATCTAGTTTCTCCAAGGCCACCATCGCCGTTGATTCGCAGCCGCTGTTCCGAACTCACCCGGCCACCGCCACCTCTAATCCACAACCCAAAACGATCCGACCAACGTACCCTGATTCGCACTTCGCAACCGTCGTGTGTATATATATATGTATGATTGAGATTGATGGGTGTGTGTGTGTGTGTGTGTGTGTGTGTGTGTATATGGATGCAATTAATGGGTGGAGTTGGAGGAGGAGGAAGAGGAAATGTGTATGTTGGGGGTAGTTTGGTCATAAAAATAGTCAACAACAAGTCAAAGGGTAGCATAGTCATTTAACACTTCAAAAGTATTATAACCCCACCAAAAATTGACATTTGGGGTGTAAGTGAAATACTAAATCGTTAATTCAAATATAAGTGAAAGTTAAAAACAAAATTTTCATCTACATGAGATATGACCTAACCTAAGGGGGTCTAAGTGTAATTTACCCAATATAATATTTACATATCATTAATATGTTTTTATCATTATTTCCTTCTTCTTTTCCCCTCTCAGTATCTTGTCTCTCTTATTATTTTTTTCGTTAAGAAAAGGTTAAATATCTACTCTTTTACTATTTTTTGTCTATATTTTATTTTTCTTCTTTGACTTCTCCCTATTTTTCCTAATTATTGTTTGCTAATCTCTTTTGACATTATTTTTTTTAACAAAAAATTATATTCCTGGTGGATCTGATATCTGATTAATAACAAATCAGATATAGATACAATCATAAATAATCCGTTGGGCTTTCAGATCGGATCAAATTGAATATAACTCTTATTAGAGTCAAATTCGGACATGTCTAATCCTGTTCGAATCTGATTCATTACAGACCTAAGTTGCGTACGTGATGTAATCTTGTTGCATCATTAATTTTCAGCAATTGTAAACCAGGTGTAGTGTAGTCGACGTACAATTTTCGAATTGACGGTGTATTTTGTTGCATATTGATTTAGTTAATTTATAAATGTGAATGTAATTATATAATTAATTATTTATATTATTTAATGTTATATATACTTATATTTTGTGTTAAATATAAATTTTAGCATTATTTAACATTATATAATTAAATGTTACTTAATTATATAATATTATTTATATATATATATATATATATATATATATATATATATCTATATAAAGAGAGTAAGAGAGTTAGGGATTATAAATGTATGAGCTTAGAGAAAAAGTTATTGAGCAACAAAAGGTTGCAAGCAAGCCATCATTTGTTGTGCCTTAAAATTTGGTACTACTTAGTAATATTATTTATAATTATATATAATTAATTATTTAATATTATTCTTTAGAATTATATAATGCTACTTAAACAACTATCTGATGAGTTATCTCTCATCAATCACCAATGACTCCAAAAGACATTGTTGGATGTGTTCTAGATGGGTTTCATCTCGATGTTGAGGTCAATTCAATTAAGACAATAAAGGAACCTCCATCATTTGAAGAATTATACAATATACTTCTAAATTGAGAAAAACATTTGGAACTTTACCACCAGTCAACAACAAATCAAAATGCTACAACATTCATGGCTTTTCAAGGATGTGGATGGAGGTGGACGAGGAAATTGTGGTCATGGACGTAGTAATAATTCAGGGAGAGGAAATAATCGTGGTCGAGGTTACAACTCCAATAGTGATAATTCTTCTTCCAACACCATGGTGCTAAACCTACTATCTTATGTCAAATTTGCAACAAGCCAAGTAATGGTGCTCTCAAATGTTATCGACAAAACTATGCATATCAGTCAGATGATCTTCCTACTGCTTTTTTAGCCTTAAATATTTCGAATGATTCTTATGACTGTTAGAAATTTATCACTTTAGTAGCCTTTACATGATCATACATATGATATTATGATATACTAAATACTTCCATAAAGAGTGTTATAAGAAATTAATTGGAAGGTGATCCAATATTAAGTGCTCATAGTGTGTTGAAGACCAATAGTGTAAAGTTTTATAAACACTTATAACGCCATTTTTTGAGTTACATATGCTTTAATAAAATTAAGTGATACTAATGAAATTAAAGTTAATGTTCACTTAATGAAGAGTTAATAAAGAGTTAAGATTTCTTGTAACTCTTGGTGTTCTTACGAAAATATAAAGGTCTTTGATGGAAAGACTAACTTTAATGAACT